TGTAAAATTAAAAAGTCATCTTCTCCTCTCTTCATGGACAACCAGAAGCTGTCATGACATATCATATGCTATTTAGAATTTAATTCTAGGACATGGTTTGTGTGGATGCAACCCTATTTGTGCATGGAATGTGGTAACTTGCATTTGATTTTGTATAAGTTTTGAACTATTGATTTTGGAAAGCTTGTAAGGACATAATTTTTGTGATAGCTAGGGTTTGACTCTAGTACATGGATAAGTGTCCTCTAAGTCATAAGTGCCCACTAGGTGGTACCTTGTGCGTCGTAATTACCCGAAAATACTTGCTTAGTCTAGCGACCGCATGTCCTAGTCTTTCCACTATTTGATTTCGCATTTAATTTCAAGTTGTTAATCATGGATTACTTGTAGCTTGAGAATTGATGTTTACTTTGGGTATTTGAATCCTATCTAGCATACTTAAACTTGTATACTTGCTCTGTGAGTTTAAATTTCATTTAGTATACTTGTGTCGTGTATACTTGTCTTATGTGTATTTCGTTTAGCTTAGTATACTTGTGCTTGTATACTTGTCTACCTATATCGAATACTTGTGTATATATGTTAGATATTGTTTATCTTGTTTAACATGATTTAAGGTACTTGAACATGTATGCTTGTGTGTCGTATATCATGTTTTAATACGGTTTAGTGTACTTGAGCATGTATACTTGTATTCCGTAGTTCATTTCAATTGCATGAGTAGCTTAGGATGATCCCCGATTCTCATTTTGACATAGACGTTAGGTGGCATGAACCCTTTTAAGTTTTTAACATGTTTCACCATAAGGTAATCTTATTGTAAAATGTTAGGTTGATGCATGTTCATTTCCTACGAGTAAACTTGTTTACTTACCTCGAAGTTACCGGGTTATTTTCAGTTATGGATACCTTGGTTCGAGGTGCACATCATTCCTTGGATGACTTGTTGCTTTTAAGTTCACATTTCATGCAAATGTTAGTATCAAATGTCATTTTGTAGCTTTACATATCAAAACTTGTATCCTTGATTCCAAATATATAATGTGTGCCTAAACACACTTTTTGGATGCTTATTTTGTATATATGCCATGAGGCCAAGGGTCATTAATTCTAAAGTTTACAAATGTGTTTTTAAAACTTGAGATTTTAATACTTGGTACTATTCATCGATTTTTTTTTGAAAAATGTGTCGATCGATCCGAAACTTCTGGGGGTCTTGTGGGTGTATTTAAAAATTGCATTTTCAATTTAGACAATTTAAAAACTTCCCGAAGCCCCATTTCCTTTCCTTTGGCAGTAGCTCAGAAGGATCTTAAACTTCTTGACCTGATTTTCTTAGGGGTATTCTGGGCATTTTACAATGCATTTTCTTTGTTTCCGTCCACACTATCGGGTAGAAAACTTGATTTTTTTTTGGGTGGGGGGGAGGGGGGTTTCTTCTTCGTGTTTTTCCAAAAAAATTCGTTCCCTCTTGATCTCTTCTAATCTAGAGGCATTTTGGGTATTTCACAGTGAGTTTTTTTCGTTTCTTTCTATGCAATCAAGTAGAAAACTCGATTTTAGGGGGAGGGGGAGGGGGGGGGGGGGTGGGGGGCGGTTTCTTCTTTGTGTTTTTCCAGAAAAAGTCGTTTCAGACCTCGTTTCGGCTCTCAGTTCTGGCTAGAACTTTTCTTCCCCTAACATGTCGTGATGTCGACTTTTGTTTTCACTCGTTCTCCTTTGTCCGGGCTCCAAATAGAGTGAACTTTTTTTTGAACTTGACTAATTTTTCACTGTCTTTCCAACGGTATGCTCAGTTATACCCGGATCTTCCTGGATAATTACCAGTTTACCCTTTTAGCCTTAAGTGCTCGTTTTTCTTCGTCATGTTGTTTCTCCTTCGTCCGGACTCAGAATCATGCAATTCTTGAGTCTATGTTGATTAGTTTTTCATTGCCTTTCTAGAAGTGTGCTTGGTGCCACCTGAATCCATAATTTCAGAAATGACTATATTGCCCTTGGGGATATTTTTGTCCAATTTTTCTTGCTTTCCGCTTCTGCTACTTTCCTTTGAGTTCCGTGACTTTATAGGAAATGACAGATGTGTTTCAGGAATGATATACATTCTATGGACGTCATTTCCATGTGAAATGACTATTTTACCCCTAGTGGCTTATTTTTCATATTTTCGATCTTTTGCTTCCGCGTCTGTTCTCATTGAGTTCCACAACCTCATGGAAGGTCACATTAACTTCTTAGAGTCTTGTTTTCAGTTTTGGCTTCCGCATTCGGATCCGTTATCGGGTTAATTTTCGGTTCATCACAGGACGCACGGGCTTGAAAAACCAAGGCCGTCACATGTTCCTTATTTGATTTCCCATTTTAAGTTTCAAGATGTTAACTTTGAGAAATCATACTTTATGCGTTGTATTGGAAGTTCCAATGTTGGTTGAATTGCATATATATTATGATTTGTGTTTTATTGTTTTCATGTAGCCTATGACAATTCCTTAGACTCATTTGGAACATAAACGTTAAGTGACATGAACCATTTTAGTTGATTTCACACTTCAGTTTCAAGTTGATAACTTCGATAATCTATATCTTGTTGCATTGTATAGTATGCTTCTATATTATTTAATTGCATGAATATTGTAATTTACGCTAGAAATGTTTTAAAGTAGCTTAGGATGATTCCTGAGTCTCACTTATGACATAAACGTTAGGTACCTTGATCCTTTTGAATTATTTCATGTTAATGTAATAACTTTGTAAAAATTAGATCTTTGCATGCTCATTCCCTACGAGTAACTTGTTTACTCACCCCAAAGTTATCGGGTTATTTTTCAGGTACGAATACCTTGATACGAGATGCACAATATCCCTAAATCGTTTTGTTGGATTGAAGTTCATTTAAATGCATTCTTGTTCACATGCAAGTGTTAGCATGTTTGAGTTTTACTTTTAAGGTTGTAATGTATAGTTATGACAAAAATGTCATTTTTGCCTTGGACTTGTAATATGTGCCTAAGTACACTTTTTGACACTCATTCTATGTATATGATGTGTGGCCAAGGGCCAAACTTCATTTAAAATCCATGAATACCCATAAATGTTGAATTTTGTCTTTAATGAGAAAAGTATGAAAATTAGAGTTTTAAAATGTCATTTTTGCACCAGAGTGTGCATTGTGTATGAAATTCATTATTTGACATTCATTTACCATGTATGAGGTATGGCCGAAGGCCAAATACCATTTTGTTTTAGGTTTTACATTCTTATTGCATTTTAAAACTAAAATAAGAAAATCCAAACCTTTAAAGGTTCATTTTCAAATCGGGCGGTACAAAGTGTGCATAAGCACATCCATTAGTACTTTTTTATTATGCATGAAGTGTGGCCGAGGGCCAAATGGTCATTTAATTGCATTTAAGTCCGATTCTTGCATTGTTTGCCTTTAAAAGACATTTTTCACGCATTGGGGTTTGGATAGGTCAAATTTTGCATCAGTGATATTTTTAAGCCGTGAATCATTGTAGTATGTCTTAATAGGTAAGTTACGTCTATGCGCATGATCGTTTCCGGGTAAAACCTCTTCCTTGGTGAAATGAGTCTCCTTTAGACTCATTTTGCATTTTTGTTGAAAGATTTAGTTTTGGGGCATTTTGGGGTTTTCCCTTAGGAAATAAATTCTGGTTTTGACTTTGTCACATAGAAAATGTGATTTTAGGGGGAGTCTCTTCACGGCATTTTTTCGAAAAATGTCGTTTTGGTCTTGAAAACCCCGCGTTGGTTCCATTTTTCTAGTTTTTCTCCTGTTTGGTTCAAATAAAGTTGGGTTGAACTAGTTCAAGGTGTGTTTTGGGTCCAACATGGATGTTCTGTCCATGTTGAACCGGTTTAGGGGTGCTGAACTGGTCCAAGTCCTCCAGAAACTTTTCTATAGGTTCAACTTTGGCCTTCCAACTTCGAAATGTCATAACTTTTTTGTTTTAACTCTGAATTAGTCCGTTCTTGAGTCTAAACTGACCGCGTCGAAGTAAACTTTCCAATGGTACCAATTTCAGTTTTAGATTCTTCTTCTAATTCTAGATATCCTTGTTTTAGTGGGAGGGTGTCAGATTTAGTTCGAACCGGGATATGGTTCATTTGGGATTTCTCTTCCTTTGCCCTTGGGACTTCATGTGAAGTTACTAAAGAATGTTTTTGAATGTTTTTGATCTCATTTGACTTGTTGAAAGTCAAATTCCTTCCTCTTATGGTAAAATGACCATTTTACCCTTTGGTTCTTCTTTTGTAGGGTTTTGATACCCTTATCTTCGTTTTGCTTTCGTTGAGCCTCGAAACTCTTCAAAGGGCCATTCTTATGTCTTAAGGATGACGTACATCTCTAAGGACTTGTTTATATTTTGCTTCTGCATTTTTAGATTCGTTTCGGATCATCACAGGACACATTAGGTTGTAAAATCCAGGGTCGTCACATATGGATATCTTATCATTTGTAGAATTATTTTAATATTCGGTATTTTTATCATTATTCTTTTTCAAAGCCTGACCCCTCGGTACTATCTGGTTTAATATTATACTAATCAGCATTTGCTCTAAAAGTTTGTAATAGGCAATCGAATGCGAACTTCTCCCATAATTACTAAATATTTTAGAAGTTAAAAATATTAGTGTAGTCATTCTTAATTACTTTAATTACTTATGCTATGCGAGATGCCTATATTAACACTACAGTACCCATACTTTTTTGGCAAATGATATATGAAGCACAAAATGAGTCAATCCTGTGATGAAAGCAGGCTGATTGCATTAAGTGCACAGTTTGATATTTTTCAGACCCAGATCCATCCAATGCCACCAATCTAAAAATATGAATCATTGCACTATTCTGCCTTCACATTTTTTTTTTCTTCTACTAAAAAGTTGCCTTCACATCTTAGTTTCGATACTTCACTTTCAACACCTCATAAATGAAGACAGTTGAGAGTTGCAAAACATAGCTCCTTATATACTCCTTGTGCTTCTTTTAAGTACTCATTCACATTCATATATCACACCAACCTATTTTCTCTAGTCATTATACGAAATACTTTTCCTTGCTTTTCCCTCCCACAGCTTCTCAAGTTCCATGGATTGGCCAAACACCCTCTTTTTTGCAGCTTTTCTACTTGTTGCTGCAGCCATTCATGGTACTCAAGGAGATGCCATGGTCTCTGGCTCAGTTTTCTGTGACCAATGCAAAGATGGCCAAATATCCCTTTTTGATTATCCCCTCTATGGTATGAGAATTATTATTATTTTTTTAATAAAATAATCAAGTCATTATACGCATATTCTTTATTTTATTGTAATATAAACAATGATCTATGTGGTACATAGTACATGGGGTATTACCTAGTGGCCTAGCCCCGAGCCTGTATGCAAGGCAGACACTGCCTCTTAAAAATTAGAGGTGCTTATTGCATTTTCTTTTCCTCTGCTTTCTCAATATCCAAACAGCGAATCTTAACATTAAAAGTGCTAATTATTGGAAAATTGTGACATTATTTTGTGCAGGAATCAAAGTTTCCATGGCTTGTGCTGATGGTAATGGGCAGACCACTGTGTGGAGGGAAGAGACTACTAATTGGTTTGGAAACTATGCCATGAGGTTTGAGGGCACCCCAGACTTGAGTGGTTGTTATGCCCAAGTTTCAGGTGGTGGCCAGGGATCAATGGGCTGCGGGGCAGCTCCGGGTCCTGCCCGGTATCTGAAACTTATGTTTAGGATGTTTGATACTGCAATGTACACAGTGGATCCTTTGCTTTCACAGCCTGGTCAACCAATGTCCTTTTGCCCCAAGTCAGCAACCCCGACGGTGCCTGCACCGGTGACACCCTCGAAGCCTCCACCGTTTAGGCTTCCGCCAGCGCCACGACTGCCGCCAATGCCACCGTTGCCTCGATTGCCTCCAATGCCACCAGTTCCATTCTTGCAAGCTTCAGCCTGTCCTTACCAGTAAGTTCATCATCAAGATTTGTGTAAGGTTATGCGTGCATTAGGTGTTGAACACATCACACACTGCAGGTGCACCTGTGACTATTACAGCTACCACTTTTGACCAAAATTATCCATAAATTTATGCCTTTCAACTAGCTACTACCTATATAGTGTAGTGTCAAGAAAATGAATGGGTAATTGAGTGTTACACTCACATCTTTTGAGGTTTAGACAAATTACTTTGATTTTTGCTAAACTCGTTCTTGGCTGAACTCTTCTAAATTTGTCTATTGAATTTGGTAAATGAATTTGTTAAAAGGAAAATTTTAAAATGCCGTTGAGCACGCTTGTTCAGTTAAATATCAGGAGGGATCAAATCAATAAATGCTGAATAGTTTATTCGTGTGTAATTTTTTCAAACCCTGTAAGAATAATTTATCCAAAAATAAAAAATAAAAACCACTAAAGAATTTGAAAATGGACCTATCTAGAAAGCAAAAAGATGGACCAATGAATTTGGACAGTTATTTAAGACCATCCAGAAAACATCTGACACATAAATTTCACTATTACAGTTCTTGGTTAAATGGGTCCAAAGGCATTGAAAGCCTCTTGCATAAATTAGTTGTTAAACAGGTTGTAAGAAATCATTGGGTTGGTTGGCATCCTGTAAAGGCAAAAATTAGTTTTGGTCCTGTTTGTGATTTCCGCACATAGCTTCAATTTGTCATTTTCTCCGGATGAGCTTGCTTACAATTGTACATTGATATTATAACACCTGCTTATATTTTAGCCAAAAACATTTGTAATTCAGTTGTTACCCATCATAAGCCATGACCTAGGACTTAATAGATTATTATTATATTTTTTTTTACACTCACAATATTACACTAAACTAGCACTTTTGGGAGGAGAGCTCATACCATCTCGATTAATGTCCATTGATACCACGAGATAGTTTTGATTCTGCTATCCCTTGACTACTCTGTGTTGCGAATTGTTAGGAAATGGACAATGCCGGAGTACAAATGTTACTGGAAGGTGGTGAATCCCGACACGAAAGTAGCTGTTGTTTTCGGCCTAGTTGCTGCCAGGAGATATGGGACAGACATGACATTGTGGCATGCCATGCAAGGGAGAGGAGACCCTTACAGGACCCTCCTCAGGGAAGGGACAACTGCACTGCTCAACTCTTACAATAGTCTTCAGTACCCATACCATCCTCTTGGTGTTGTCCAACACATGAATTTGGCCTTGATGGGCTCAACAAGGCATGTCCTCCTCACAGCTCTGCGGTTCTTGAGGGCTAATTCTGGCTATGGCAATGTCGCCTGCCGATTCGAAACATGCAAGTGATCAATCCATTCCTATTTCTGATTCTATATAGTCAGAGATCACTCTATGGTTTATATTATTATTATGTTTGGGTGTACCGAATAGATATCTTTGATTTTAGATTGGAGGAAGTTTAGTTCAAATTTTGTACTAAATTTTCTTGAATCTCATATACAAGGTGCTGATTCGGTCCCGCCAATATATTTACTTGGGTAATAGTGGATGTATTGAATTGATAATCAGTTCTTTAAAGTATAATCATTTACATTTATGCTTGTAATATTGCTACTATAATTAATGAAATTAGCACTCATGGGTCATGTTTAGTCTCGATAAAGAGGATTTCTTTACCATATATAAATATATATATAAGGCAAAAAAAATCAAATAAATGGTTTGTCTCAAATTTATCAACCACATTAAGAAATGTTAGTGGTCTAATGGTATCAGTCTTTACTTCTTAGAGAAATGTTGAAAATTCGAGCCATGTAAAAAAATGATAACTTTTATTTGGGTAATCGATTGGTTCCAATTCACAAAAGTTTTGTAACTGACAAACGTGAAGATGTATGTTTAGGTATATGAAGGATCATTTTTATGCAAAATTATGTCAAAAATTAAATATTTCTAAACATTCATTTTTTTTTTTTTTTTTAGTTATATGTTTTTGACCAATACTCATATACCAAAAAAGTGTTTTAATCATTAAAAGGAAGATGAAGTAAATGTTTTTTATAACTTTTCTTTTATAATTGAAAAAAACACGACAATACTGGAGGCTCAATACTTCCATGAAGGCCCAAATAGAGTCATACGTATTAAAAACTGAGATCCTACGTACGCCTACTCTGTCCATCACCAACAAGTCTGTGTCTGGAGCATTGAATATATATATATATATAAATTTTCCCTTATGTAATTTAGATTAAATCTCAGGACACCGGAAAAAAATCAGTAATTATGGAATAAAACAAAAAAATTATTAAATCACATGGAAATTTGTACGTCTTATTAAAGAAATTTAGAAGTGTCGCAACTCTAAACCTTCTCATTGGAAGAAAAAAAAAGTTATATCTTTAGACTAGAAACCCTTCAGCGAGATCCAACAAAGTTCTCAACCATAAAACTAAGACGATAACAAGAATGGGCTGGGCTATAGGGAAAAATTAATGACAAGAATGGACTGGGCTATTGGGGAAGAATAATAACAAGAATGACGGCTGGTGAGTGAGTCATACCAAGCGTGCAAGCTGTTTTTGTAGTGGGCTGGGCTACTGGGAAAGAATGATAGCAGGCATGAGGGCTGGTGAGTGGTGATTGTTTCTGGCGGGACGGGTTTGGGTGGCCCGTGGGTTTTGGGTATTTTTGCACACTTAACAATGTCAATGGTTCGTCAACCTAGGTCTGTGACCCCAATTGCACTTGGAAGGGGGTGCCATCTGAGAATTTTTATTTTATTTTATTTTATTTTTTCGTGCAAACCGTCTATATAATACACGCGTGATAATAAATGGATGAATGTGCGGTGCAACAGGTGCAAATAAGTTTTTCTTATGTTTTATCCTAAGGCCTGCCCAAGTGATGGAGCCCGCCCCTTTCCAATTTCAGGTAGATATTTGCAACATTATATGTTTTTATAACAGTCCTTCATGCTAGGTGTTGCTATAAATATTATGAACCAAGAACGATTAAGAATCCCGACACAAAAAAATAAATAAATAAATAATTGATCTGTGTGATTTGGTGCAAGTCAAACAAAGGTACGGTGAAAGATTTTATTAACCGAAAATTAGGAAATTACAAGTTTCAGCTCCAAACCTTAGTGCACTCTCTCTTTCTTGTAAACAAATTTTATTTTTCGGATCAGAATCGAATTGCGACGCAGTCTGAATCGAAACAAAATTGGGGATACAAATTCACAATAGTTTTATTGTTAAAACTATTTATATATTATGAATGCTCTCTTCCAATCTATTTGTAGGTCCTAATCTGCAAAGTGGTTAGGAATGAATCAGATGCCAAGCTGAAGTAGGGTGCTACATAGGGTTTATTTGAATGTAACTAGTTAAGCTTAATTAATAATTGTGTGCTAAAACAGTCAGCCTTCAGCCCTTTCCTTCGAGTCAACTAGGACTCAATTTGATTAGAAAGTTTATGATAAAAGGTATAACTAACGAATTTGTTGTACTTTATGGAGAATTTTGCGTGTTTCTTTGAAGAGAAAGATCGTGGAATAGTGGTATAGTATTGTTATACTATTAATTTTAGTTAAAGTTTTAATTTTCTTTTACACAAATTCCTCTAGTTGTATCTGTTGTGAAAATTTCACATAATTATAAAAATATATAAAATATAATATTCATACACAAGATAATAAACAATAACACTAATAATAATTCTTTCATTAAACGGAATAATATATCATTTGAACAATATAAATATAATAATCAACATGAATTTAACAAGACAAAGAATACAAGATTAATATAATAATAGAAAATAAGAATGAAAATGACAATAATAAAATAGGTAAGAAAGTGCTGGCCTGATTGTTGAGGCATGTGTAAACACATTGACCTAAAGTTGATAGTCTTCTCCTTTGTGCGGGTATTGGTGAAACTAGTTAGCTCCAAGATACAACCCAATCAGTTCGCAGTCGCGTCTCCTCCATGTGTACGACCACGAAAAACTTAGTCTAAGTCTATATGTGTCTCGTTGCCCATAAACTCAATATATAAAATAGAATATAGAATACTTCTAAAATAGTCTCACCCATTCATATATCATCACTTATATATACAAAAAATTTCTTTATGGAAAAATGAGAAGTCTTCCTTTTTATATAAAATAATAAGTATAACGGTTATCATACTTAATATGATATTAAATGTTTATGCACATTTTATAAAATGAATTACTAGTTGCTTTTTGTCACATTGCTTTCAGCAATTTAATGTAGAGATTGGTACCTGTCCTTTTATGAAAATATGTATTATGGCACATTCTTATAAGGTAATACCCTGAATTACAAATCCGGCACTATCACTCAGGTAAGAGCTAAAAATCTTGGTACACAATTTGGCTGCAGTAACACTAGGCTCTGAAACGGATGGATCCATCCTATGTCCATCAAGTTATAATTCGTAAATCTGCAGAATTTTAAGTTCCGAAAATTTCAATTCCAAATTCAAGGCTCCAAACATAGTCTTAATGTATTTAACCTATAATTTTTATCTTGATTAGTGATAAATTTGTGAGAAACCCCATAAAGAATTTGTTTATGGTTTGTTTTAAGATCAAAGAGTCAAGTGACTACATGATATAGTTCCAAATTCTTTACGGTGCTTTACCTGTGATTTTTGTGTGTAAAAAAAGTTTCGTGGTGCGAATTTTCAGAAAATAGGCTAGATATTATAACCTAAGTGGGGCTATGCTATCAATAATGTTGTCCCAATATTACAATAGCAAGGACTCATACATGTGCTGCATCAGCTTTATAACAATTGTTGTGTTTTTTCTTTTTCTTTTTTTTTTTCATTGAAATGACAGATCATTTTTTGTTTGCTAATGTTTAAAAGCAACAATGGAAAAGTTAAAGGTAAGTCGGTGCTCCGTTGTTTCATATCCTGAAAGAAGCTTATCGGTGCTCCGTTGTTTCACATCTTGAAAGAAGCTCACCAAGTGGGAGGGGGTGGAGCCGTTTCGCGATTATTCGGGCACTATTTTGCATGTGATGGTTTTTTGTCTGTTCCCAACTTCTAGTGCGACTTTCATTGAGGTTTTCTGTCTTCGTAAAGCAGTTTTGTGGGCCTTAGTAGTCCCTTTTGCTTATGGTTGGTTTGAAACAGACTCCTTGGCTATGGTTAAGGCTGTTTTGGCTTTTGATTTAGGGCCTATTGACATTCAAGCCATTTCCTTTGATATTCAGTTGGCTCTTCGTTGGTTCGCCTCGTCTCATCTTAGCCATGTACATAGACATGGTAGCTTTCCCGAAGTCATTTGCACAAGGATGTTGTTCTTGATTTTATTCCTCAGGATATTCTCCTTTTAGCAGCTACAGATTGTATGCATTAAGCTGTGCTGCTTGTCTTTGTTTGGTTGGTTTTGTTTGCCAGGATAAAAATAAAATAAAATAAATAAATAAAACAATTACATTGGTAGCATCTTTGTCTTAATTCTTAATTCTTTAATTATGGTCATCTATGACATACCGCATCACATTATAGTTGGAAATTTATGAACTACTGAATTAGTGTCCCTGCTGCATCTAGGTAGTTTGGGAGGTGCCAATTGGCATCTATTTTGGAGGACTAAATGGTTCAGAGCCTACACTTTTTGAAATTGCTAATAGATTCGGTTGCTTGTTATTGTTGTTACAGTGGGTATCCAAGGGTAATATTTCCTTGATGATTGCGTGATTAGTGAACCCCTAGTCTAATCTAGCGAAGACCAATTGTAATCCCTTTCATAGTGGAAGATATCATTCGGAGTTGTCCCATGATTTTTTCCCTTTCAGCTTGAAGAGTTTTTCCACATTGTAGATGGGTGTATCGCGGGACCACGCCATGTGGCATCATTTCTGGAATATTACACTTGGTCAATGCTGAGTAGACCATGCCAGTACCTGCCTGGCACCCTTCTGAGGGAGACCAAGTAACCTTGAGCTACTTGACCCAAAACTGCATATTTTGTGCGAAGAAGGGGTCGCCACCCTTCTCTCTCCTATGGAATGTAACGACCCTAGTTGATGTCAAAATTAAAAAAAAAAATTCTACATGACTTTCGCCAAAAATTGTCCTACAACAACCTGTTTAAAAGAATTTTAAACCTGTCCCAACACAAATATCATATAATACACTCCATGGTGGTGCAACCCCATACTATATTATCCAAATATCATAATTACAGTCCCAAAATACAAGATTAATATCGAATGTCCATGTTTTACAACGTTTATACAACTTATACTAAAATTACAGTCCATAATTATAATTACAATAACAAGGGTCCACAAACCTTTATGCCGAATATAAAAACCTAAGGTTTTACAAAAATATGGGACTTAGTACACAAAATGGCAAAAAGTCTTCTAATCCAAATTAGTCCTGTGGTGGAACGTCATCCGCCACTTCTTTCTCGTTTCCAGGAAATTTTTTATTAAATAATAGGGTGAGCAAGTTGCTCAGTAGGTAGTGCCTAAGACGCACCTCTTGAAACCCCGTGAATCCAAACAAAGAATAGGACAATAGGAATTTGGGGTCATGCAAAGTCGGGAAAACACAATATCAATTCTAAGCTCAAATCAAATAAGTCTCGTGCC